CTACTTTGCCAAAGGTGGCTCAAAAATGTCTTCCCTAGTCTGTCTATCCTAACGATATCCCTTCCCGCCTTTTCAACCCACCTCCTATGCCCAGTTTAGCTACCGTCTTTTCCTCTCTATTCCATGCCTCAAACATCTCCCTGTACGTTCCATCTATTTTTCCCAGCTCAGTCACGTACACTTCCCTCTCCTTCTTGTACAACGGACATTCCGCGACTACATGAACACGGTCTTCGCATTCGAAGCCGCAATCACATTTGAACTCGTCGTCTTCCTCGTCTACCGTCCTATGTCTTCGTCGACGTTCTCGAAGGCCTATGTCCCCGGTCCTGAATTTGACCTTAAGCTTTGTTCCTGCATCCATTGGTCCATGTAGGTAGTCCTTGAACCCTATTCCTTCCTTCAACATTCCGTACACTTCTAGACCCTCCTTATCCTTGGATTCTTTCCTCAGATTCTGTTCTTCTCTCTCGGCACAAGCAACAGATATCTTCTCCTTGAACCCCTGTAGACCCTCCGTTTCCAGCGTTTCATCTTCGCCTTCCCTTTGTCTCTACAGATATTGTAGCCTAGACTACATGCCTCAGCAGATTTTGTAGCCTACATGAATGATTGTTGCTGTGCACACCGCGTCGCCGCCTGTCGCACTCTGTTCGATAAACGTGTTGCAGACTCATACCATCCTGAAGCATGGCTTCAGTAGAACCGGAACCGGAGGCACCAACGGCGTCTTCTGACGTGGTGAGGAAGTCCTGCAAGGGAAGAGTTGCGCAACCTGATCTTGATGCGGAAAGACAAACGCTTCACACTACAGCAGTGCAAGCACCTAGACTACAGCAAATCAGCCTGCTGTACTTCCTAACTTGGGACCACCTGTGACCCACCGAACACTCGCAATGCCACCTTGTGTTCCCCGGGAAAATCGCGGCGATTTCCTGAACTCTGCTACGAGACACTTCGTGTGTACCAGACCTTTTTCTTGTCCGAGGTGGAGGGAGAGTGGCCTGCCACCGCCGCAGAACTGCTTTCGTCTACCTCTCCGCGGTGTTGGTGCAGCAGATTAAAGAGAGTCGATGACGAGTTTCCCCGCTACTACCGTCCGATTTCTCCCTCTGTGACGAGGTCATTGACGCCTCCAAGACGGCAGATGATATCGAGAATGGGGGGAGCGGTAACGGGCCAGCAACACAAGAGATACCCCCGGGTTTGAGCAAGAGATGGAGTACTTCCGCTGGGCAAGGTCCAAGGCACCGCCGTTGGTTGTGTTTGGCTCCATATGACTCTTCTGTGTTAGGATGATCCGAACTGGGGGTAGCTTGTCGCAAGACGTGTGTTGAATAGGGTGTCGGCAACTCGGCGAACTCGCGCCAAGGAGGAAAGACGTGTAGGGTTTGTTGCATAGACTTTTTCTTCACATGAACTCACATGAACTGAACGCACGCGTGCACGCACCACCATGAGGGGGCGACGCAGTATACAACAGGGGTACCTTGCACACCCTGGAAATAAATTCCACGTACCACACAATCCTACAACCACTTGGCATTGCGACAAGTATCTATCAGCCCCCCTGCTTGTGAGCATGCCATGTATTTTTCGATCCTAAACAACTCCAAAACACAAGAAAATAAAAATATAATCAGAAACTCAATTAATTCAACTCCAGAACAAAAGCCTCACTGGCTAGACATCAATAACCATCCCTGATCATACCAGTTATACTTCTTCGAAATTCAGTGAACTAGTTGCCCCCCAGCCTAGAACATCATCCATTGAGAAAAACCATAGGCAAAAATGTAAAATGTTGCCACCCCAGTTGTTTTATCACACACAAAATAAATCCAAACACCAATATATTAATCCATACTCTCATCACGTAGTTANTATCACACACAAAATAAATCCAAACACCAATATATTAATCCATACTCTCATCACGTAGTTACGATGAAACTCAAAATCTCCCGCGTGAAGTGCTTTCGTGAGAAAGTCAGCATGTTGATACGCCGATTGCATGTGAAATATCGATATCTCTTTCCTGCCTACCAGTCCCCTGATAAAGTGGTGCCTTACGTCGATGTGCTTCGAGTTACTGTTGCTTATCGGGTTTTGCGCCAACTGAATAGCCCC